GCTAAGGAGCTCTGGTAGCGTAGTGGTTACGAATCGGGCTGCGAACCTTAAGGTCAGCGGTTCGAAACTACCAGCCGCTCCGCGGGAGAAAGATGAGGCTTTCTACTCCCGTAAAGATTTACACCCTCGGAAACCCTGTACAGGGTCGCTATGGGTCGGAACCGACTCAACGGCACTTAACAACAACAACAACAATTTTGTATGGCCCATGGATGACATTGTTATTGTTGTTGTTGCTATGTGCTGTGGAGGCGGTTCCGACCCATAGCAACCCTGAACAGAGTTTCCGAGGCTGGAAATCTTTATGGGAGCAGAAAGCCTCATCTTTCTCCCATGGAGCAGCTGGTAGTTTTGAACTGCTGACCTTGCGGTTCGCAGCCTGATTCGTAACCACTACGCTACCAGAGCTCCTTGAGGATGACATTACAAATAGCCAAATGGTTTTTGGCATAAAAATGGTCCTGGTGTGGTGCTGTGGGCTAATGAGTTGGATGGCAAGGTGAGTTTGAACTTGCAGGTCAATGATTCAAAGTCATCAGCGGCTCCTTGGAAACCCTATACACGGTGGCTGTGTCATAACCCACTGGAGTTGTGACACTTCACAACATACAGATGAAACTGGCATCAACAGTCAAGATTAAATAGGCACCTTCGAGTTTATGTTAATGGGGAAGGAACAACTTAGAAAAGGAGCATGAGAATGGCTGTCCAACTTGAAGACTGTCATCATCAACGCTGTTGAATTATACATCGGCAAATGGTTGGATTGGTATGTATTTTGCTTTGTATATTCTTCACAGAATATAGGCATTTCCGGGAAGGATTTGGGTGGAGATGGCCTTTGCTGATGAACTCAGAGACCCCCAATGGTGATATCGAAGTCCTCTCCCTCACAGCCCCTCTGGCACCAGAAGGAAAGTGGAAATGTTTCCCACCAGAGCCAAGTGTGGTTTTTTTTTAAAGTCTTGCGCAACACTCAGTAAAAGGTAGGAAGCCCAGCCAAGAGGACAGGGTGAAGTGGTCTTGATGTTTTCAGAACATCTGGAAAGACAGCATTTTCTCCATTTATCCTTCAGCCTTTAGTCAAGAGATGGGTCTACTGCTCTGCCTTCTTTTTCCTCTCCTAAGCATTTGTGGAGTGGATGCTCCCTTCATCATCATTTCTGTGCCTGCTTGTAATTGCTTCTTCCTCTATTTCTAGAAAGTCCTTTTAGAGACTGGCTCTGGTAGCACAGTGGTTACGAATCGGGCTGCGAACCTCAGGGTCAGCAGTTCAAAACTACCAGTTGTCCGCGGAAGAAAGATAAGGCTTTCTGCTCCCGTAAAGATTAACAGCCTCAGAAACCCCGTACAGGGTCACTATGAGTTGGAACCGACTCCACAGCACACAACAACAGACCTCCTTTAAGTGCTGAATTTGGTACCAGCGTTTTGTCTTTAGTTTTTATATGTGAGTGTGTTATCATTTTAATCCAATGAGTTAATGGGTTTGTTTACAATGTGACATTTTCTATTATATCTCCAGTATTTTCAAAATTAAAAGTAAGTTTTCTGCCTTTAAGACAAACATGTGAAACCGTAATGGTGCTGTCACTAAGCCCCTACCATTGCCAGATGCATGACAGCAGCTGGAGTCGGAGTTCCGGGAGGGCTATACAAACCGGAAGCAGCAGCTACTGTCAATGCTGTTGTTGTTAAGTGTCGTTGAGTCGGTTCCAACCCATAACAACCCTGTATAGGGTTTCTAAGCAGCAGCTGGTGAGCTTGAACCACCGACCTTGCAGTACAAACGCCTTTGCAGTCTGGCACATTAATCCACAATGCCCTGTTGCATATACTGCCAAGTATCAGCTTTCCACTCTGATGTTTTATAAGGAAATTTCAAAAGAATAGGACTCAATTCCCAGGAGACAGAGTATCTTTCTGGACACGTAATGTAGTAGTCCTTCCTTCTGGACTTGTTTTCTCCTAAACCCTTGTAATCAGTCACCATTCCCACTCAGGAAACTAAGGGTGATAGGACATACACAGTTTAGATACTATCCATCACAATCATCCATCGTATCCCTTAAGAGTGTGATGTGACAGTAAGATTTGGCTATTGACCAAGAGGCCCCCTATTTGAGCCCCAAGAAGGCAAAGCAGATTTGTAATTCCCTGACCTCTGGTTCTTGCACGACTGCATTTTTCTAAAGCCAAGGTGGGACAGAAATGTTGCCTCAGTCTGACGCTACATGTCAGTTACAGTCAAGTCTGCAGTAGGGCTTTAAAGATCTTCCCTTAAAAGATGGAAAAAGATCTTCCACTGGTGACTGAAGAGTCGTTTACCTAAATGAATCTGTACAGTGAACATTTGTGAATATGTCTGCTGGAAAGGAACATCCGGTGAAAAAATGCTAAGTCAATGTTACCATGCTTACTGTTTATTGCAAACAAATTGCCCTGTGTCCCCTTGGTGCCATCATTCTCCCATGGCCTCCCCACCCCCAAAACAGACTTGCACCAGGTGTCCCCTTTCTCAGTGTGGTAAGAGATTTCTCTCCAGTCCACCCCTCCTAAACACAAACTTCCAGTTCACCGATTAACAATGGGTACCTAAATAAAGGCTTCTGTCTTCTAAGGGACCCTGTTTCTGACTAAGTGACCAATGCAATTTAATCATTTAATTAACAACTAAAGTTATTCTGCTTTGAGCTCAGTCTTGTTGTTACATGCCGTTGAGTCGGTTGACTCATAGTAACCTTGTATATGGTTTCCGGGGAGCAACTGGTGCATTTGAATTGCCCATCTTTCAGTCAGCAGCTCAGCACTCATCCTCCAGTGCCATGCCAAGATCAGTGTTGTTGTTAAGGGCTGCTGAGTCAGTTCTGACTCATAGTGATCCTGTATAGGGTTTCTAAGGAGTGGCTGGTGGGTTTGAACTGCCCACTTTGTGGTTAACAGTCAGGTACTTACCCTACATAGCCACACCAGGATTAGTAGGTGTGATAAAATCAACAAATCCATAAATAATCCACAAGAATATTATGAAAGAATGTAGCAAAATGCAGTAAAATCCCTTGAGGATAAAAGGACGTAGACAGTCCAAATTGAAAATATAAGGCTAGGTGTTGGCAGCAACCCTCAGTATTTTAGCAACTTTACACACAGACGCTTTCGTGGTACACTACTCTCGACCTCAACCCAAGACTTCAGTAACTGAGTGTTCCTTTCTTTCCTCTAACCACAAGAGATTTCTTTTCTCTAAATTGCAGATTTTATTTGGAAACAGAAGTATCTGAGTTTCTGCTTCAAATACCTCGTCTCTAAATTCTTAATTTCCATGTTCTTTAATGGTAAATTCTTATTGACTGCCTTTCATTCCAATTCAGTCCAGAAATGCAAGATTTTGCTGTAACAAAGTTTCAGGTTGTGGAGCAAAAGATAGATCTTAACTTTTCCAGAGTCAACTTGGTTGCAGTCTGCCCAACATTAGCAGTCCGCCATTTTTGGTTGAGTTTTTTATGTTGTCCGTACTGTTCTAGCTCTCCCGTAAGTCACACAGGGACCGTGATTATTTTAAGCTTTGAAGCCTGTTTAAGTGAGCCATGGTGTGGTGCTGGACTAAATGCAAGGTTGGAAGTTCAAACCCAGCCATTCCCAGAAACCCTATATAGGGTCACGATGAATTAGAATCAACTTGATGGCACACAAGAGTCGATTTAACTACCATACCCAAATAATACTTTAAAATTGGTAATTTGTAACTTAAAAAGCTTTTCTCTGGTGACCTGTAAGTAGGGATGCTAGGTTTAGCAATGAATAATTTTTAGTTTAAGTATGTCCCAGATATTGCATGAGACATTTGTTGATGTTAAGTGCCATAGTCTGTTCAGACTCGTAGTGAACCTGTATAGGGTTTCCAAACAGTACCTGGTAGGTTTGAACCACTGACCTTGTAGCTAGCAGCCATTGCTTATCTTCAGTGCCACACCAGGCTCTACATGAGAATGAAAATTGTCATTTATCTGAAATTCAAATTTAACAGGGCACCCTGAATTTTATCTGGCCTACCTAAATAAAGTCCATAAATGTCCACTGGAATCCTGGTGTGGCACTGTGGGCCAATGAGTCAGACTGCAAAGTCATATGAACTGCAAGGTCAGTGGTTCAAGCTCACCAGCTGTTCCTTGGAGACCCTATACAGGGTAGCTATGGGTCGGAATCGACTTGCCGGCACTTAACAACAAAACAAGTGTCTATTGTCTGTACCAGCAAAAGGATCACTTCCTGCTTATGCATTAGACCAGAGGTGTTTGACACCGTAAGATTGGTGAAGAAGCATACTCAGAAAAGATTTATAGGTTCACAGAATCTATAACTGTCCCCTAGTGTGGAGTATGGAGGCTATTTTAAATGGTTCTGCTATCAACAGGAGTTTGGTCCAAGTTGTCTGGGTGATGGGTTCTTGTTTTGAGTCTACTAGACCCATGACTATTTATTTGTGCTCTACAAATGGGAAATGGAGAATGGGTTGCATCAAAATTATGATAGATCAAGTGGCATAGCCACAAATGTTGAAAGGAAAAAAAACATTTCATTTGCCTAGTACCCAGGAGTCAAGCTAACCAATCTGTGACCCTGATTGAAAACACAGTAGGGACTTTCTGTTAAAATATAGTTTTATATATAGCTGTCCACATATCTACAAGCAGCTCTGCAGACCAGAGCATAACTCAGAATTTTGGAAGCTTGAAGGCTCTAGAGATTATACTGGGTTTTAACCAGTGATTAAATCTGAGGTAACGGCATCTTAAAAACTGGAGGGAGAAGAGTGAGGAATTAAATCAAGAGTAAAAGCTTCACATTCTGAAATTAAGTGGCAAACCACAACACCTGTGGGTTGAGGGCAATAAAATGGAGAAGGAAACACGATTAGAAGGAAACCTCTAGAAGTCTACTAATCCAAGCTTCCTCAAATTAGTAGGCTGGTGGCGATGCCTGGGCCACTCATTGTCACATTAAAGTTTGATAGAGAAGGATGAGCCACAGGAGCAGCCTTGCTGTGCTTGAGGATTGTTCAACACTTGAAATGAGCTTCGGATAAGTTCTTGGCTGAAGTCCACCTGGGCCCCTTTCACGAAGGCCAAGCTATCAGAGTCAACCACCACTCTTGCCCCACCCTGTTCAAATACCCTGGAAAGACAGGACCAAGGCATTAATTAAGATCATAAACATCCAAAGCATGACACTAACTCCCTCCTCCCCCCAGCACACTCTCTATTCTTGGAATACAGAGGGAACAGTCCTTATTACTTCTAATAAGTGCTCATTTCCTCTGAGGCAAAAATGCAATGAACTGTTGTTGTTAAGGACTCTGTATAGGATTTCCTTAGTGCAGCTTGTGGGTTTGATTTACTGACCTTGTGGTTAGCAGCCCAGTGCTGATCCTACAGTGACACAGCAGTGAAATAAATACAGGGAAATATTTCAGGAATTAGATATGGAATGGAGTCCACCTGACTCTCTACGAACTCCCTATGGGCCAGGGCATATCAATTTTTCACAGACCACTTCGTTACTTTTTTTTAAATCAGGACAATAAATGTGCACTGCATTCACACTATGTGAGAAGGTTGGTGTTAACAAATTTCACCCATTGAAATTTGAAATAAAAGGGCATCTTATACTGGAGGGTATCTTATAGAGGTGTCCTGGTGTTGCGATGTGGCTTAATGCGCTGGACTATACAGTCAGTTTGAACCACAGGGTCAGCAGTTCAAATTCACCAGCCGCTCCTAGGAAACCCTATACAGAGTCGCTCCAAGTCGGAACGGCACTTAACAACAACAACAACAAAATTACTGGAGGCACTTTTATCTCATGCGAACATCCAGAGGTCCCACCCTTTCCTCCTCCTTGCCTGTCATCGGGGTTGACAGCTGTATCTAGTGAAAATTTGTATTGGAATCCAGAGCATCCACCTCCTTCCACCTGCAGTCTCAGGAATTCTGGCCCTTCCGTGATTTCCAAAAGTCTCTGAAATGCAGAAAGCGGGGGTGGGGATGAAAATTCCGGGAGACAGGGAAGAGAAGGGTGAGCGATAAGGTACCGGCGCTCGCCAGGACAAAGCCGCCCCACGCACGGCCTCCTACCTGGACGCAGCTGTCGGTGAGGTGGATTTGCCATTCGTCGGCATGAGGGCTGGAGGACGACGTTTTCCGAAGCACCTGGGGCCAGAGGAAAGCCGCGGGGAGCCTGCCACGCAAGGGAAGAGGATTAGCCGGGCAAGACGTGGGTAATGGGGCGCCTGACCCCGACCAGGGCAGACTCACACCAGCCTCCCTCCCCTCTACGCCCCACCCCCGCGGTCCTTAGTTTCCCCCTTGCCCCGGAAGCGCAGAACCTAACATTCCCTTCCCAAGTGTCTTCTAGACTTGGTACCTGCCCCTCGGCCAGGGAGTGACCGCTCGGAGTGCAGCGGCCGCTAGGGACAGACCCCAGGCGGCCGCCATCTTCCTCCAAAGCCCCGCCCCTCGCAGGGCCCATCCCGCCCCTCTTAGGCCTTGGGAGGCGGGAAGAATTGGTCGGGGGCGGGACCGTATGGAGTCTATTGGGTAGTGCGGGAAATGAAGGGTCTCGATTGGCTAAAAGTGCTCCAGATGCCGGAAGCAGGGGAGTACCGACAAAGTCCTGGCAGAACGCTGAGAGGAGGTGGAACCTAGCCGGTCCTGGAGCCCAGAGAAGAAAATAGGCGGAGATGGGCGGAGTCGGAGAGGGACAGAGACTGGCCGGGCTCCTGGAGCCGGGGCGGGGCGTGGGCGAGTCTCGGCCTTGGAAGCTGACGAACTGTCGGCTGACTAGGCTCCTCCCCGTTACCGCCCCGGCAGGTTTGTCTTGTGACTGTCGCAACCACTTTGCATTTCCTTGCGCTTGGACCTTTCCTAGGTTACGATGCGTTGTCTAGCTGTGGTGTTCCTGCTCCTGGTGCTCAGCGCCGCTTCCTTAGCCGAACGGGTGAAATTCCAGGACTGCGGTGAGTTCCGGGCGGGCCCGAGATGTCAGTGCCGCATCCCCGCGCTGAGTCTCCGGGGCTGGGCTGGACGGATCCTGCGAGCGGCCAGGCTCGTGTCCGACTCCGCGGGGAGTGGGAAGCGGGAGCGGGGCCAGCCTCCAGGAAATACGACAACTCAAAACATTGTCTCTTTCTTGAGACACGTGTTTTGGGATTCCTGAATGCTTCTAGAGGTGGGCGTTTTGCTGAAGTTTCCTAAAGTTCGTACCAAGTGCAGAACAGAAGTGGTGTGTGTATTGGGGCGGGGGGGGGGGAGTGCGCAAATACCTTCATTTTATTTATGCTTTGTTTCTTGAATAATCTCCCCGCCCCATACCTTTGTTTGCGTTTTTTAAAAATTTCCCTTTTGCTGATGGATCGAATTGTGGCCTTTTCCTCTCCCCCACCCCAATAAGTGGTGTAATCTCTAACCTCCATGGCAGTTCTCACATACTTTGGCCCTGTCATCAGGAGGAACCAGCCGCTGGAGAAGAAGAGGGCCAACAGAAAAGAAGACCCTCAACGAGCTGGATGGACACAGTGACTGGAACAGTGTCCTCAAACCATTGTTAGAATGGCTCAGGACCACGCAACGTTTTGTTCTGTTGCTCATATGACCTCCATAAGTGGGAATCACTTTACAACACCTAAACATGCCTGAGGTTATAAATTCGTTTTAGCAATGGGTTGTCTTTAATGAGGCATATGTGTTTTTTGAGCTTTAAAAGATTTAATAAAGGAGTCCTGGTGTGGCACTGTAGGATAAGCACTAGACTGCATCGGTTTGAACCTCAAGATTGGTGGTCCAAACTCACCAGCCACTCCTCAGAAACCCTGTACAGGGTTGCTGACTCGATGGCACTTAACAACCACCCCCAAGGGAGCAGAACTGAGATGGAGAAAGAGAAATGCCAAGTCCCATGAAGATCACCCAGAAGCAGAAACTCGGAAGAGACAGGCCCTTCCTTCAGAGCTGATGGAGAAAGAAAGCCAGCCCTGGTGGCACTGTGGGTTAAGTGCTGGGTTCAAATGCTCCAGCTGCTTGTAGGAGAAAGATGAGGCAATCTGCTTCTGTAAAGATTTACAGCCTTGAAAACCCTGAGAAGCGCTTCCACACTGCCCTAACCTGTAGGCTCACTATTAGTCAGACTCAACTCAGTGGCAGTGAGTTCTGGTTTGGTAGAGTCTCCTAAACTGAGGAATGTGTTTATTAAAGATACCCGTTTTTGATTTTACTGTTAAACCAACACTGGGTAACTAAGACACTGACAAGTCAATAGTCACTTCCCCTTTTCTTGATTTATTCTGAGCTTTCCTTGTGCTATGGAATTTTGTTACTCAACAATTACCCAGTTTTTCCTCCTGTAAAAACGACTGTGTTGCTCATCCCATTTTGTGTTGCCACCGTGGTTAGACTCCTTGCTGGTATAAAATACATGTTAAAACTCTAATCAAACCCACAGCTCAATTCCGGGTCATAGAGGCCCTTTAGGGTAGAGTTCTAGCCCCTCAGGATTTCCGTGTCTCTAAATCTTTATAGAAGCAAACAGCCATATTGTTCACTGAATTTTTTGGTTAGCAGCCAAGTGATTTAACCACTAAACCACCAGGGCCCCTTGGAAAATATATCAGGGGTAAAAATTTTGAGTGAGTTCATACAGTCAAATCTGTGGAATTAATTGTTTTAGCAGAACTTTCCTAAGTTCTAGAAGCATTTTTCTAAGTTCTAAAATGAACAACAACAACAAAAAACACCCCACTTTCATCCAGTCAATTCCAACTCCTAGTGATCCTTTGTAGAACTTATGAAACTAAATCTTCATAGGAGTAGACAGCCTCATTTTTCTCCCTCAGCGCGGCAGGTGGATTTGAGCTTGCAACCTTGCAGCTAGCAGCCCAATGCCTAAGTTCTAAAATTTGAACTGTTCTCATTGTAAATTTTTTCAGCTAAAAGGAAAATTGGAAGTCCTTTAGGCAATCATGTTACCTTGGTAAGTGCTGTTGAGTCTGTTCTGATTTACAGTGACTCTGTGTAGGGTTTCCAAGGAGCGGCTGGTGGGTTTGAACTCGCTGTCTAGTGCTGATCCTACAACGCCACACCATGACTAGGCAATCATTATAGTCCAGAATAACAATAGAATAAGACTAGAATAAGTTTACTGTTTTATATCCCAGTTGATTGTTACTGCTCACGAAGTGTTTGTTGAAAAAGTGAGGTGTGGTTGTGTGATCGCATCTCGGAGACTGGTAGCGCTTGCAGCATGGTTGACCAACTGACTGAAGAGCAGATGGCAGAATTCAAAAAAGCTTTTTCACTATTTAACAAGGTTGGTGATGGAACTATAACAGCAAAGGAATTGGAAACTGTAATGAGGTCTCTTGGGCAGAATCCCACAGAAGCAGAATTACAGGACATGATTAATGAAGTAGATGCTGATGGTAATGGTACAGTTGACTTCCCAGAACTTCTGACAATGATGGCAAAAAAAATGAAAGACACAGACAGTGAAGAAGACATTAGAGAAATATTCCGTGTATTTGATAAGGATGGCAATGGCTGTATTAGTGCAGCAGAACTTCCTCACGTGGTGACAAACCTTGGAGAGAAGGTAACAGATGAAGAGGATGATGAAATGATCAGGGAAGCAGATATTGATGGTGATGGTCAAATAAACAATGAAGCGTTTGTACAAATGATGACAGCAAAGTGAAGACATTGTGCAGAATGTGTTAAATTTCTTGTACAAATTTGTTTATTTGTCTTTTCTTTGTAACTTATCTGTGAAATGTTTCCCCTTACTGTCAAAAGAATATGCGTGTATAGTAATTAGGACTTCATTCCTACATGTTTTCTTTCTTTATCTTACTGTCATTGTCCTGAAACCTTATTTTAGAAAATAGATCAAGTACCATGTTGCATGTGGCTTACTCTGGATACATCTAAGCCCTTCTGCACATCTAAACTTAGGTGGAGTTGGTCAGATGAGGGAACATCTGGGTTATGCCTTTTTTTAAGTAGTTTTCTGTAGGAACTGTAGGCATGTTGTTGTTGAAGTGTGGAGTTGTAACTCTGCGTGGACTTTGGACAGTCAACAGTATATACTTAAAGTTGCACTGTTGCAAAACGGGTGTATTATCCAGGTCCTCATACACTGTTTTTTTGCACTGCTGGCCCAGTACCAGAAACATTTTCTTTTAGTGTTACTTGCTTTGTAAAATTTGTTTAGCCCCTTTAAATGTGCTTATGGCACAATGTGCCTCAAATCCATTCCAAGTTGTGTATTTGTTTTCCCATAAAAAAAATTACAGTTTGCCCCTCCCCCCCAAAAAAAAAGTGAATGCAGGAATACTAATTCCACTTTGTCATCAAAATCCATGTTGAGACAAAAGCACAGCTGGGGATAGAGACTGGCGCTTGAAAGATCCTATTGCTTCAAGTTATTGCCTTTCTTGACATTAAATTTAGTGACCAAGGTTTGGATTAACACACTGTTACTCATTTCTACAAAATCTGGTTTACAGATGAGGAAACTAAGGTACTCCATAGAGTAACTTGTCAAAGGTCTCACAGCTAGTACGAGATGGTAAACAGGTGGGTGTTTGTGAACCATTTTGAGTTTCAATGGTAAGATTTAAGAAAAAAAAAAACCTAAGGGAAATCCAGCAAATACTCTGCTTAATTGAAAAAAAGTAGGTATACAGCTATGGGGAGGAGTCCCTTGGTGGTGCAAAGAGTTAACATTTGGGGCTGCTAATGAAAAGGCTAAGGAGCTCAGGCAGCATAGTGGTTACGAATCGGGCTATGAACCACAAGGTCAGCAGTTCGAAACTACCAGCTGTTCTGCCAGAGAAAGATGAGGCTTTCTGCTCCCGTAAAGATTTACAGCCTTGGAAACCCTGTGCAGGGTCGCTATGAGTCGGAACCGACTCCATGGCGGCACATAACAACAACAATAATCAAAAAGCTGGCAGTTTGAATCTATCCAGAGGTACCTGGCAATATACAACTGAAAAATCAGTCTTTGAGAATCCTACGGAGCGCAGCTCTGCTCCAGCTCTAGTGGGTGTCGCCAGGAGTTAGAACTGACTCCAAGATGATTGGGATGCTTCCATTTGTGGAACAAAGCTCCTAAGGGACAGAGAGTTTCAGTTAGATTTTCAGTTAACATTTCGATTGGGAAATAAATACAACTTTTTAACTTATGTGCCTACATCAAAAGAGTTTTGAGTCCCACTCTACACTCCCTTCTCATGAGGTGGGATTTCCTCAAGTGAGATATTGGACATTTGAGTTTTGCAATATTTGCAGGTTGAGGGGGCTGAGAACTTTGTTCGTTGACATTGGAAGTCCAAGAACCTTTAGTCAACAAGAAACTGGGTGAAGGAGCTATAAGAACTACTTTCTGCTTAATTCCTTCACATCATGTGACCTACCCTTCAAATAAGTAGAAGTTCGACATTAAAAGCCTAATGTCACTGATTTTCAGTAGGTTGTTGATTAAAGTTCAGGATTTTTTTCCCTATCCATAGAAGATAGTCCTGGTGTGGCGATATAGAATAAGTATTGGACGCTAACTACAAGGTCAGTGGTTCAAACTCACCAGCCGCTCCTCGGAATCCCTATACAGCGTCATAGGGATTGACACTTAACAACATATAGAAGATAGGAAGAGTTGGAAACGATCGCTTCTCAGACGGCTTCTGATGCTGAGACTAGAGAATCCTGTGTGTAGAATTTAAGAATTTCGCCATGACCGATAAGGGATTACAAGGTGATTTTTACAGACCTAGCTGAAGCAATGTTAGTCAGTATGATTTTGATTCCTGTTTGTGTCAGAGGAGAATTATGACTTTGGAAATCAGTCACCAAGAAGTCTTGGAAGAAGTACAGCCAGAATATTCCTTAGAAGCAAGGATTGGGAGATTTCATCTCATTTACTTTGGACACTTCATTAGGAGGGACCAATCTTTGGAGAAGGACA